TAAAGAATGAAGACATATGTTTGTCCCCTCCCATAAGAGTCACTCCAAAGGGACCTGTCAATCACCTGGACAAGAAAATGCCCCTCAGGACAAGCTGTCTGTTCTAGAGACTTAAGAAACTGTAAAAACAGCCTAAAATGTAGATCAATTTGTTCTCTTTGGCTACTTTCCAACTCTTACCCTCTGTACCTATGTACTGCTCTGTAATGGTCCCTTTGGCCTTTGTTCACTCTCTCCCCCTTGAGGGTGCTCCAGTTAACTCTATAATAAACTCTGTAATAATAATGTTATGTGTGCCTGAATTCTTTAATGGAAGTGCCAAGGTCTGGGGAGTCATGGGGAGTTCACGGGGGAGATTCCGGTCACAAAATGTTCAGACTTAAGACCCAATAGCCACATAATAGCAGACACTTGTTATTTAGAAATAAACCATTTCTTTCTGAGAGTCTCACTTGTACTCATAAGAGTCACAGCTGCAAACTGCCCTGTCCTCCCCATCTACCTGCTGAGCATCTTAGAGATAATGCCTTGCAGCTGTCATTAACCACAGTGAGATGACAATGCCAATGCCAAGTGAACTGCTCAGCTCTGAAAATGACTCAAAGCTTTGAAGTAATGCTTATGCAGCAATAGAGCACTAGCACATATCTGTTCACAAAATGAGGTTCTTCCATAACAAAATCCTCAAAGGTTGGAATGGCTTTAGAATTGGGCAATAGGAAGATGTCAGCAGTGAATGTCAGTGAAAAACTGGAATCTTGAAAAAACTGTTAGTAGAATCCCAATAGACTCTGAGACGGCTATACAGGCGAGGAAAGCAGTAAGGAAGATGTTACTGGATAGTAGAAGGGGTCTTTCTTATGCAGAAGCAGACATTTAGTGATGTTACCTATAGTTATATGAAAAGTTGAAAATGTGCCTCATCAATTAGCTGTTTCCCAGGAGAGTGCTGAAGATCCTGTCTGACATCTTCCCAATGGTTACAGCAAATGTGAAAGGAAGGAGATAATCTGAAAGAAGAACTTTAAAAAAAGATTCTACAACTTGACAGTTTTGAAAATTTCCAGCTAAAGGTGGCAAATAATGCTAAGAAAAGGAATGGCTGCCCAGCAAAGACAAAGTCCAGGATGTGGCCAGGAAACATCAAATGATGAAGTGTGAGTATGACTGTACAATCCTTTGTTTAAACCTTGAGAAGGTCTATGCGGTGATTCAGAGGCTCATTCAAACAGCAGGGCTTTGATCAGCCATGTCCTGCTGTAGTGCCTTGGCAGCTTCAGCAGAGGGACTCTCTTGGTAGAGAAGAGCTTGTCCTGAAGAGATTTGTAGGTATAAATTTTGTGTAGCAGAGTGAACTGAATTATAGACTTACAAGCTTTTAAAAAAATGTGAGCAGGGATAGAGTAAAAATTAAAAATGGCCTTTGGACCACTAGATTCTATTCTTGGGAAGCAAAGTGACCATACTATGTAGCTGCTTTAAATGAAAAGGGATCCAAAAGCCCAAGAGGTGAAGTCAAGAACTACAGAGAGTCTTTTGCACACAGGAGTAGGTATGAGTTTTCTAACCAAGGAAATTCTAACAGGCATGCAACTGGATGTAAGGATCCCAATGGACTAGTAACTATTCAGAGATTCCTATCTTCCTTTTGAATAAGAAGGTCTGTTCCAGTTATCCTAAGCTGTCCCACCATTGTATTTGGAGGTCTGAGGGACACTGGTATTGAAATGAAGTGGTGTTATACTTGAGGAGCTGAATTTAAAACACTATACCCAAGGGCCTCATCCATACCTGCACTCAATTTAGATGACATAGTTCTGGACTGATGACATAGTGGATTGAGCCTTCTTGTATTAGGGAAGAAGTCCCCTAAGGCTGGGACTAAACGTATATGCCACATCTCTCCCTTGTCTAATGAAAATTTTCCTTCTCTCAAATACAAAGCAAAAGGGTTTATTTTTTTTTCATGTGTGACCATAGATTTATATTTCTCTCCTGACATATATAAATCACAGGAGACCAAAGGGTAGACTGTGGCAATTAGCCTCCAAGATGGTCCCAAAGACCCTCATTTCTTGCTACTTATGCCCTGTGTAGTCTTTTTCCACACTGAGCAGAACAGTATTGATCTTTGTGACCAATAGCCTAGCGTGGAAATGATGATGTGTGACTTCTAAGCTTAGGACATAAAAGATATTGTGTCTTAAATCTTGTCCTCTCTTGCTTTGGGGGAATTTAGCTTGTCACTAGGACAATCAACTGTTCCTATAAATAGTGGTGAGCTCTCTTGGAAGCAAAGCCGACTTTTGTAGATTTGCCTTCAAAGGCCTATAGTGCAGTCAACATCTTCTCTTATACCTGTAAACCAGAGTTGCACAGTTAAGCCATTCCTACATTCCTCGAGCATAAAATATATGAGACAACAGATATCTATTATCTTAAGAGTTCTATATTTTAAGGTAGTTTTCCATGTAGTAATAGATTAATATAACAAGGCTATCTCTAGATATTCCCAAAGACTTAATCCCTTAGGGAGTCAGATGGTTCTAATTGCTCTAAAGAAGCAATTAAAAATCAACTTATTGAATCTGCTACACCATATCCCAGAATTTTATGGAGTCCTTTTTTAATATTTTCATTTGCTTCTGCCTTTAAAACCCCCTCTCCAAAGGAGGCTCAAAGAAGAACTGTAAAGCATCGGATACTGAACTGTGCAGTATTGTATTTTAATTCCATTAGATTGAAATGAAGAACCAAAACCAGCAAGAATAATCTTGATAGCAATAAGACCCTATTTCATTCTGCCAAAGATTCTGGGATGTCCTTTTTGGAGAGTACTATACTAAATATTGAACTCAGGGCCTCCTGTATGCTAGACAAATGCTCTACCACTAAGCTGCACTCCCCACACTTTTTCTTAATTTTGTTTTGAGACAGTGTCTTATTCAGTTGTTCAAGTTGGCTTCAAATACATAACCCTTCTGCCTCAGCCTTCTGAATGGCTAGGAATACAATATGTGCCACCATGCCCCATCAAAAAATGCTTTCAATAATGCATTAAAATTATTTTCATTAAAAATATTTTGTAAAGCCAGGCGTGGTGGTACATGCCTTTAATCCCAGCAGTCCGGAGGGAGAGGTAGGAGAATCTCTGTGAGTTAGAGGCCAGCCTGGTCTACATAGTGAAGTCCAGGCCAGCTGGGGCTACAGGGAGACCCTGTTTCAAAAAGACATATCTATCTATCATCTATCTATCTATCTATCTATCTATCTATCTATCTATCTTCTATCTATCATCTATCTATCATCTATCTATCATCTATCAATCTATCATCTATCTATCATCTATCTATCTATCTATCTATCTAACTATCTAGCTATCTCTAGATATCTCTAGATAGCTAGATTAAATGCAATGTCATTGTGCCCCAAAAGCCCAAATTGTTTTATTTTAAGCCTGGGGAAGGAAGTGGAAATAACAAAGCAAGTAACGCTACTCAATAGATATACTACTGTTGATGTTTGAGTTGGCATAAGTCAGTTTTTCCTGAGAATGGTACATCAATCTTTGTTTTGAACTCAGACATAGGAGTAATTTCCAGAGAAATGACCTTAAAGAAAACAGAAATGTGCATGGAATTGGAACAAACTAAACCAAGTTTTTTCAACATTGCATTGAATTGTTCTGAGGTTTTTAAAAACCTCTGAACTTTCTAAAAAATATATCTAACAAAAGCTGCATAAAGATTAAGCATACATTATCTATGGGGACATTAAAAATGATTTAAAATGTTTATTCCTCTGTGTCTCTTGATGCTTTTGTGGAGATCACCTGGAAATCCTAGCGCCAAAGAAATCAATGGAAATCAGATGCCACAGCATTTCCTTCTCCCTGTGTAGCTCTGGCTGACCTGGAAATTGCTATGTAGACCAGGCTGGCTTTGAATACAATACAGAGATCTGCCTGCGTGTTACACCTAAGGGCTGGGACTAAGGGTATATGTCACATGTCTCCTTTGTCTAATCAAAATGTCCCTTTTCTTCTCTCAAATACAAAGCAAAAGTTTTGGGGTTTTTTTTTTTTTTTTTTTTTTTTTTGCATGCATGACCATGAAGGGTAGATGGGGATTTCCCTACATTACCAGCAGTCAGCCAAAAATGCCTTATGTGTTCAAAATATGCAATGACCTTCAAAGGGTCATTGTCAGCACTAAATATAATTTGTGCTAAAAACAATTAAAGCTTAGTGATCACTACAGCATGAGTACCTTTACGTTTAACATGCAAATTCCTGTAAAATAGATATATATTACTGTCATTATTTCTATTTTACATAGATTTTTAAAACTGAAAAAATAGAAAGGAAAGGTGAATTTGTCCACCTTTCCTTGAAAGGTCACAAAATTAAAGAGATTTGGGGGCTATGGTCAATGAAAGTTCCAAAACAGGTTTTGAAAGCACCCCACAAAATCTAGCACGGTTTGTGGCATTTTGGCACTGCTTAATATACAATAGGCCCTTTCCTTTCTCTTGGAGCCCTGTCTGAATCAGGAACTCCTTAGTTCCTTGGAGGCTTTGAAGACTCACTCCATTAATACAGTCCCTCCCCGCCTCCCTTCACCTGACACCGCCGCTACCACCCCAGAGGTTCTGAGCCCTTGGCAGGCAGGAATGCAAACAGACTCCGCGTACACACAAAGCGTAGTATCTCTTCGGATCGAAAATGTTTCATGTTTGCTCAGCCTGACACTGAGACTCGCAGAGGCTAGAGAAAAAACACAGCCCTTCTCGGGGCCCAGTGGAAACTCCACGAGCGCAGGTTCCATCTGGTAAGGAGCCCAGGGTCCCGGCCCCCTGCAGAACTCCGGGGCCTGTGACTGGGCGGCGACGGATCGGCCCTAGAGTGACAGGTCTGCAGAGGCTCCAGGCTTTAAGTCAGGTGAACACCTCCAGGGAGGGCGTGGGGGAGGCGGGGCTCACTGCCATCTCCTCCTGAGGGAAAGACCGAGTTCCCGCTTCTCCTTCCGGGGGCGATGCTCAGCCCCGCGGGAACACCCGAAAAGGGCCCTTGCCGCTTTAAGTGACTCAGGAAGTGAAAGGAGAGCGGCTGACAGCTAAGGGAAAGTGGAACCGGGGCGGCGCGGGCCCGCGGCGGCCGCGATCTAGCCCGGCGGCGGAGACCGTGCTGCGCGGCGCGGGGGCCGACGGGGCGCGGACGGCCGCGCCGGAAGTGGCGCGTGAAGGGGACAAGGCGCAGAGTGACGCCAAGCGGACCAGGCCAAGCCGCGCCAGGTCCTACGCTACGGTCCCGCTGGGGCCCTCAGGCCTCAGCTCGGCAGACGCGGCACGGCCCAGCCCGGTAGGCGGAGGCTCCCGGGCCAGCGACGACGTGCGTGAGGAAACAGCGGGCGGGGAAGGCGGCGAGTGCACAGGCCGCTAGGCCTCGGCCGCGTCCAGCAGCCACATGGCCTCCGGAGTGGGCGCGGCCTGTGAGGAGCTGCCTCCCGACGGCACGTGTGACGAGTGTGAGCCCGACGAGGCGCCCGGGGCGGAGGAGGTGTGCCGTCAGTGCGGCTTCTACTACTGCCGCCGCCACGCCGACGCGCACCGCCAGAAGTTCCTCAGCCACCACCTGGACGAGTATGTCCATGGCGCCCAGGCCTGGGCCCCGCCAATAGGCGGGGACGACGCGGCCCCCGAAGATGCCGAGGCCAAGGAGGAGCCCGAGCGCGAGGTAGAGAGCGAGGCCGGGGAGGAAGAGAGCGAGTCGGAGGAAGAGAGTGAGTCGGAAGAAGAGACCGAGACGGAGGAAGACACTGAGGATGAGAGCGGCGAGGAGAGTGAGGAAGACAGCGAGGAAGAGATGGAGGATGAGCAAGAGAGCGAGGCGGAGGAAGATAACCAAGGAGAGTCTGAGGCCGAGGGAGAAACGGAGGCCGAAAGCGAGTTTGACCCGGAAATAGAAATGGAGGCCGAGAGAGTGGCCAAGAGGAAGTGTCCGGACCATGGGCTGGATTTGAGCACCTATTGCCAGGAAGATAGGCAGCTCATATGTGTCCTGTGTCCAGTCATTGGGGCTCACCGGGGCCACCAGCTCGCCACTCTAGATGAAGCCTTCGAAGAACTTAGAGTAAGTACTGGGTCTCCAGAGCGTAGGTCTAAGCTGAGGTCAACTGAGCCTAGCTGGGCCCACGTTCATTTCCACTGTGTCTGTGTGTAGCTGGTCTGTGTAACCTGGGAGCAGTTCTTAGTCACCCATTTTGGGCTAAGATCGTCAAGTTTTCAGTTCTCACCTGAAAAAAAAAAAAACAAAAAAAAACAGGTACACATAAAATGCAAGGTGAAATTTCTGAAAATTTCCAAGTCTCTGGATCCCAGGTGGTGCATCCCTGGAAGATTTTGACCCCATGTTGGGCCAGTTCCACGTCATCATTGTTAACACGTGCTTTGACTGACGGTTCTTGCTAGGGGAGATTGATTCTTCCTGCTTTAAAACTTGGGGAAACGATAATTTTGACTAGTAAAGCTAAGGAGGTGGTTTCTCCAGTGAGAAGAATAAAGTGGTGACACTTGTCATGACTTGACACTTCGAAGCTTGGGAAAGGCGCATAGGGTGCCTGCCAAGTGCGTGTGGGAATGCGGGTTCTCATGTTTGTTGAACGAATTTGTAAATGATTTGCTTGTGTATTCAGTGGATGCTTACAGTCAATAAGAAACTGCTGCTGTTAACCAGGTGGAGGAAAGTATGTGATCTGTTCATTAAATGCCCAGCATATTAGTAGATGTCATGACTTTGGCTTCCCTAAGCACCATTTCAGCTGCTGGCATTGAGATAATGATTTTGATAATGAAGATATGCTATCCATATTTGCCCTTTATTTCTTTTTTTAAATTAATTAATTAATTAATTTTTTTTTTTAGACAGGGTCTCCCTACAGCCCCAGGTGGCTTGGAATTCACCATGTAGACCAGACAGGCCTGGATCTCAGAGAGATCCACCTGCCTCTGCCTCCCAAGTGCTGGGATTAAAGACATCAGCTACCATGCCTGTCCTTCTTACTCCTTTATTGCAAACTGCGTTCAAAAGCGGGCAGAAATGCATAGTCTAATAAAGAATTATAAAGCAAACACTGATGTAACTACCTAGATTAAGAAATACAACATTTTTATTAATATTAACCCCCCATGCCCTTTTCCAGTTACAACGATATCAATAACCATTATCCTGATTGTGGGGTGATAATTTTTTTGATTATCTTATGTATTTACAATGTATTTATGGATTTCTGAACTTGAACTCAACAATATTGGTATTACATTTTTTGTCATGGAGTGTTTTGAGTTTTACTTTATTTTTTAAGACATTTGTGAAATTCAAACATTGGATGGCTGTGGTTCTTTTTCATTGCTGCCTTGAATTCCATTTTGTGGATATGCCACAGGTTACTCTGATATAGATGAACATTTACTTGTTCCCAGGTTCTGGAGTTTCTGGCTGTTAGAAATAATGCAGGTGTAGCCAGGTGACAATGCCTATAATCCCAGCACTCATGAGCATCACAGTTCAAGATCATTTTCGGCTACATAGTGAGTTTGAGGCCAGACTGTGTCATGTGAGACTCTTGTAAACATTCTTGGTCATGTCTCCTGGTGTACATGTACCTACATTTAAATGCAAAGGCATTTCTTCAATAGTACTAGATCTTGCCAGCTATTTTCCAAATGGTTCTACTCATTGCATCATTATGAAGAGACTTCCCGTTGCTCTATGTCTTCACCACCTTTTGGTATTACAGTACTTTTAATTTTTCTCAATGTGGTGATCATGTACTGAATGGTATTACATTGTGGTTTTAATTACATTCCTTTGATTTTTAAATATCATGTATTTCCTCTTCTGTGAGGTATCATCAGGACTTTTGTTCATTTTAATATTATGTTATCTTCTCAGTAATATATTTTTTGTTTATATCAGTTTCAAGTGTCTTTTATTTTGTGGTTTCTCTTTATTTTAAAAACTATACCTTGAATTTTATTTTAATGTGGTAAAATTCATCACTGCTTTATGGTTTGTGCTTTTGTTTGTTTTAGTTCCACTTATGATTGATTTTTCTGTAGTGGAAGCAGTGACTCAATTAACTTTTCCTCCCATATAGATGCCAGTTGCTTTGGCAGCATTTATTGAAGAGTGTGCCCTTCTCAGTTACCATGGTTTTTTAAACATTTTATTTATTACTGTTATTATTTTTAATATTTTCATTTTATGTGTATGAGTGTACTGCCTACATGTATGTAAGTGCACCTGTGTCATGCAGTGCCCACAGAGGTCAGAAGAGGGCATCAAATTCCTCTGGAACTGGAATTACACATGGTTGTTGTCTGCCATGTGGGTGCTGGGACAAAACCCAGGTCCTCTGCCAAAACAGTCTGCTTTTAACTGCTGAGCCATCTCTCCAGCCCCTTACCATGGTTTTTTAACATGTTTTACATCTGGTAGAGCAGGTTTGACTTTGTTCTGTAGGAGTGTCTCCACCAGCTTCTTCATTTACATTTCTTAATATCTTACTATTAAAAAAAAAAGCCTGTAGGACTTACAGGTATTATCTTTAGGGTATCATGTTGAGTTTATAAGCCAATATAGGGAGAAGTAATTAAGAATTCTTTGGCATGTATGAAATTCTCAAATTATTTATTAAAAAAAATCCTTTGGACCCATTTGTTTAGGTCTTTATTCTAATTATTATTTATTTTGAGGTAGTCTATTGTGGCTCAGGCTGGCCTTGGAATTCCATATGCAGCTGAGGGTTTACCCTGAACTCCACCTCCTGGGTGCTGGAATTACAGGTGTTTACTACCGTACCTGCTTTATGGGGTGCTGGTAATTGAGCTCAGATCAAATGCATGCTAGGCAGTCACTCCTAACTATATCCCTAACATAGTCTTACAGTTTTTTTTTTTTAAATGGATATGTGTCATCAGATTAAGAAGGTTCTCTTCTATTACTAGTTTATAAAGCTTTTCTTAATTTTGAGTGGATACTGAATATCAAATGCTTTTTCTGCATCTTTTGGATTTACTTTTCTATGTTGATGTGATGAATTAATCTTTTAAAAAATTAAATACACAGACATGCCTCAGAAGCCTGTTCCCTTTCACCTGGTTCTTCTACCAGCTGCGGGCAACCACTGTTATTGGTTCATTTTTCTAGTGCTTCTTTTAAAAACCACAACTGTACACACAGATATGACCTTATTTTCATCTCTTTGTGCTAGTATATTTTATAACTGAAACAACCTTGCATTTCTGGGATTTATTTGACTCAAGTTGATCATGATGAAGGATTGTGTTTTTGGATTAGTTTATTAGATTTTATATAGGATTTCTTTTATTTGTATTAGAGAAATTGATCTGGTTTCTTGTTCTGTCCTCAAGAGATTGTATTACCAAGATTATACTGTCTTCATGATGTCTGAAGCAGAATGTTCCCCCCCCCTTGCCCCTCTCCCTCTCTCCCTCTTTTGAGATAGGCTCTCATGTAACCCATGGTGGCCTCAAACTTGCTGTGTGACTAAGGATAACCTTGAACTCGTACCTTAATCTTCCTGCCTCTACTTCTCAGATGTTAAGATTACAGGCCTAGAGATGAATAAATAAGCAAACAAATATATAAGTATTATAAATAGAAATTAAGTATAACGTGGGATTAGAGAGATGGGGAGAATGCTAGATCTTCAAGTTTTCATTGGACAAGTTTGGTTACCATGTGACCATTTTCCCATAGTTCTTAAACAGATGTAATTCTGAAAATGTGAAGTATCCACCACAGCCTCATGTGTTTGAACGCTTGGTGCCCAACTGGTGGTGCTGGTTTGAGAGATTGCGCAACCTTTGGGAGGTGGGGCCTAGATGGAGGAAGTGGCTGGCGGTAAGGGCAGGACTTGAGGTTTGTAGCCTGGGCTCTTTGTGTCCTGTCTCTGCTTCCTGACTGCCTGGGCTATGT